GTGGGTGGGTGGGTGTGTGGGGTGGGGTGGGTGGGTTGGGTGGGTGGGTGGGTGGGTGGGTGGGTGGGTGGGTGGGTGGGTGGGTGGGTGGGTGGGTGGGGGGGTGGGTGGGTGGGTGGGTGGGTGGGTGGGTGGGTGGGTGGGTGGGTGGGTGGGTGGGTGGGTGGGTGGGTGGGTGGGTGGGTGGGTGGGTGTGTGTGTCACTCTCTGCGTTGGTGCGCGTGTGACTGCGCGTGGGCTTGGGGTTCCTTTGGCTTGCAAGCCCTTGGTCGATGGGCTTGCCCCTTCGCACCGCGGCCAGTCGACGGGGAAACCGCAAGGAACGAGAAGCCCAACAGATAAAGTCTGAGTCTGGCAATGGCGGAAGGTTGTTTGTCGCCAAAGGAACTTGAAATACACAATTGTCACCTTTTGTGACCTTGACTCAGTTGCCCAAACGACCCACAAAAGGTGGTTGACCTCTTGAAACAATGGACAAAAAGGGGGGAAACCAAAGCGCTTTGACTAAATGTGTGAAAAGGTCAGATCTGGTCGATTCCAGATTCCAAACCCATTGGGTCCGCTCCTGATTCAACTTTGGGGGGAAGCTGCGTTTGGACGGCCAAGCCGTGGCCTCTTCACGAAACAAATGGACGTCCGATTCGACCAAATGATGGCCCACCCCCAGAAAACCAATCCCCAAAGATGAAATATGACAGTTTGTGTCTTATGCTTAAGGGGTATGTTGCGAAACTGGGCGGCTTGGGCTGGACCCGTCCCAAGTGCTATTTTGCCAGCCTTCAAAAGAGAATCTGGAATAAGAAAATAAACCTGCGTTATGCGCCATCCTTCTGCACCCTGCAGTGATCCCCCTGCGCAGGAATCACCCCACTCAAGCCCAGTCCAATGCTCTGTTGCTTTCTGCTCCCCGGCTAAAAGCGTTTAACTTTTAGTGGTTTACTGGAAAACCCATTCGTTGGCAAAAAGGTAAAGTCCTAACAGGCCTTGGCAAAATGCACCAAAGGATATGCTCCTGCGTTTTGTGAAGGAGGGTGTGGGGTCTTTTGGAGGATATATTTGTTTGAGTGGTGTCAGGGGCAAAGAATAGGGGGCCAATAGTTTCCGGTCCTGTGAGAAGGCCACCGGGAAGGGGGGGATGTAAGCGCCCAAGTTCTCCAGCGACAGCTTCCCCACCACTTGGCCCTTGGCCATCCTGGTGCAAAGCGAAAAGGTTCTTCTCATGATCTTCAGTAAGACTCTATGAATTTAGTTGGGGGTGGGTTTAGGGTGGGTTTGGGGTCGTCCGTCTAGGGTGGCATCGTTTCAGCATCCTCAGCATCCTCAAGATTCTATGAATTGAGTCCGCCTTTGAAGGGGTGAAAGGCTCCGAAAGAAAAAACCAAAGAGACCAATTCGTCAGCCGGACAGAATACAGAATCCATTTCGTACCGCTTTGAAACCATGGGAAATGATGATGCGTCAGGATTTACGGGGGAATCATCAGAATCCAGGGTTCCTCAGGTGGTGCAGGAGTTCGTCCACCGCCGGTAGGGTCTATAAATTGAGTTCCCCTTTGAAAGGGGTGAAAGCCTCCGAAAGAAAAGCCAACCGGTTTAGGCACTTCATCTGCAAAGCAACCTTTACAATGTTTCCGAAACTTGAAAGCAGAACTGGATCCCCGAAGGAGGCGGCATTTGTGCGAAGCTGGTTTTACCTCTAAGCTCGCCGTAGAATACTTGTTTGACGTTGGAAGGGGAGCAAGAAATTAAATTTTGGCAGTTAAGTGGGGATTTCCCATTGAACCACAATAAGCACAAATGAAAAATGTTTCCCAACAACAACTATGAATAGGCAAAAAAAGTGACTCGTGACTGTTGTCATTCTTCACTGGCTATGCTCATCTCTCATTTGGCTGGTGGGTGACAGGCCGTCATTCTCATACTTCTCTCTCATCCACTTCTCTTTCAGGCTTCCTCCGAGCTGTGAATAATGGAGATGCGTGCCGTTTTAGGGGACCGCAAGGGGCTGTCAACTACCCACCCCCCTGGCACCTACCCACCTACCCACCTTCCATAAAATCTAGAATGGGACGTCCCCCTATTGATCAACCAGGAGTTGATTTAGATTGGAAACCAAGAGGAACAACTTAACGTGACCGGGATGAATCAATCTGAGGGTTTTCGACCCCAAAAGTGACCAAACATCTCTGGAAAACTCCCTGTATATTTCCTTTGAAACACCCCCCGTGAATAAGGAGACCCCCATAGACCCCCCAAACACCACCCCAAACACACTAAAATAGAAACTCACTTCACGTTTTGCCAACCAAAAGGATTTTTCAAAACCACCACGACGGGACATACAGGAAGCTCGGTTGATTCCTGGGAAACCGTGTCTAAATTTAGAGGGTGCGAGGTGGCGCGGCTTCATGGAACGTGATAGCACGGAAGCCCTGCTGGCCACTCTTGGCAATCTGGGTTTGATATCTCCACGTTTTGTTTTTTTTTTTGGGGGGGGGGTTTCTGGGAACCAATTCCTTTGAAGTGTTTATGTCATTTGCAAAGGCCCGGCCGCCTTAGGGGCATTTTTTTTCTATCCAATCGAGGGCTCGCTTGCCCACCTAGAAATAACAGATTGGCCTTTGCGAGCAAAGCTGGAAAACCGAAAGGTCAGATCTGGCCGATTCGCTTTGGGCTGAGAGGGGGGCTCTTTTCAACGCAGCCGGCCACTGCCATGCGGGCCCAGAACATCTTGACTCTCATTGGGCCCCATTTTGAGGGGAGCCTTCACTGTTGAAGGAGTTGCACACTGCTAACAAGCCATGCTGTGTGTTTTTGTTGAAGACAACTTTTTAAAAGTTGATCTGAAGGGCAACCAGCTGGAAAACAACACAAAACAATCGCAACACAACACAATACAACACAACACACCACGGCTTAGGTGTTTTGCTTTAGCATAGCCCTGGCATTAGCCTAACCCTGGCAAAAGCCTGGCAGACGCTAACAAACAAAGGTTTGGGTTAGGGTAGGTTCAGGCTGGCATCGTTTCAGCATCCTCAGCATCGTTTTCAACATCCTCAGCATCGTTTTCAACATCCTCCGCACCACCAAAGTTGAAAACAATGCCGCGCCACCTGTGATACTGAGGATGTTGAAAACGATAGGATGTTAAACCGATGCCGGGCCTTAACCTACATAAACGGACTACCCCAAACCTACCCTAAACCACCCTGAAACCATCCCAAACCTTTGTCCCACCGAGCAACCAACCATCCAACCACCTGCCAGGGTTAGCCCTGTGCCAGGGCTAGGCAAAAACACAACACCCTGTCCAACACACCACAACACAACACGCCCACAGCGCGCCCGCAGCGCGCCCGCAACACACAACACGCACACGCACACAAGTGATCCTTTCAGGCCACAGGCCCAAGCCTGCCAGCTTGCGTCAGAGCGTCTGGTACAGCCGCGCGGTGCAGTCGCTGAGCACAAGAAGGACCTTCCGACTGGCGGGCTGTGCTTCCGCGCTGGGATCCCCGTTTACAGCCTTAGGCTTCATGTGGGGCTAGTTGAAGGTGGGGGGGGAGGTTGGCTTAGGCTCTTTGGGGCTGTCATGGGGCCTGTGTTTTGGCAATCAGCCATCCCCCAAGTCCCGACTCAGTACTCTCCGAATATTTACAAGTGGTTCCCCGAGTTTTCCCCTTGTAAAAAGTAGTATTCTCCTGGTACTCACCGAATCTTCCCAAAGTAATCCCACTGTGTCTCGTAATATTCCCCGAATTGTGCCCTAGTGTTCCTTTTGTATTTTGTGGGTATACTCCTAGTATTTCTTGAGTATTCTCCTATTTCCTTAGAAGTTCCCTAGCATTCTCCAGGAATTCGCCCAGAACCCCCCTAGTATTCCCCAAATAGTCCCGTGTTACCCCCCATTCATTCACCTAGTATTCTCTTAGTATTCTCCTGCACCGCCATTGTAGCCAGGAAAAACCGGCCGCTTTTGAGAAAAGCGGCACATTGCCTGTTTCTAGATTAAAAGGAGCTACAAAGCAACAAAAGCGGCTACTACGCCTTTTGTCACGCAGATATCGCATCCGCGTGTGCCCTGGCTCAGCGTGGGCCCCCTGGCGACCGGAAGCGCCGTTGTGGAGGACATGCTCAGGGACTTGGGCTCCGTGTCGTTTTCTTTCTAATGCACTTGTATGGGTCAGAGCTTGAACCGTGAATGGCATACCTTTGGGATAAAAAGTCAAGCTATCATTTGGCCCTTTAAGTGTGGCCTGCGTTCATATATATTCCCCTGGGGTCAGTGTGGAAACAGCCAAACTTAGCAAGATCTTAAGGTGCCTCTATTTGACATGTGGCGTTACCCCCTCCCAAAAAAGACTTGAATTCAGGTTGTATGTAAAGCGTTGGGTTTTGTTGGCAAGGATCCCCTGCAGACAGTGTTGGTCGACAAGCAATTGAAAAGGAAAAAGGGTTGTCCCTGCTTAAATGATGCTCATGAGAGCCTTGCTATTTGGAAACCGGTGGACACATTGATTTGAAAAACAACCGCATTCAACAAGTCCAATCAAAGAGGTCTGGGCATTTCGGCGGATCTTTGTCGGATACTATATGCTTAAATCACTCAGGAGAAACACAATTTGTCGATCACTGTTTTGCATAGTAGATTGGGTGTTTGTTCCGCTGACATTGGAGATAAAAAGGGGACTGATGTGTCGTGCAGCCTGCGCAGAGTTCATCGCCGATCTCGAGCAGTTTGAGACTGAGAACAAAACAGAAATATTTCACTAAATTTCCACGACGTGCTCAGAGTTTCTATCGTTGTGCGACGGTCGTTGGTTCAGTCGACACTGCAAGCAAATCACCCCCAAACCATGGGTAAAAGTTTACAGGGCCCCCTCCCCCCGTCTTGAGAACTTGTTCTCCTGCAAGTGCTTTTGGGAATTTGAGGACGCAAAGAGATTTCACTGAAGCATTCAGCCCTTGAACTATTTTGAGCCCTTAGACTGCCCTTGACCCTCATACAACTTGAAATCGTTGAAGCCACACCACATGCAGCAACAACCATTTTTAAGGGTCTATAGCTGTTATACCTAGTTTTGAACCTTGGGGCGACCGCCCTTTTTTAAGATCCCGATATACTTACAAAGCCTGCGGGCAGAGTACGGGCTTGCAATAGGTGGCAAACCCTGCCGCGCCCTTGCCCGCCAGGACCTTCATGGAGAAAGCCATGCATCGGCGTCGTCCTGTGCGCCAAAGGGTGGGTTGCAGTGTTGTGTTGGATTGTGGCAAGGATTCTGCCAGTGCTTTTGGGCTTAAGCTGGCGCTGGCCTGGGGTGTCATGCCCACATTGCACACCTTGTGGGAAAAAATCCCTAGGGTGAGGAACCGCATCAGAAAGGAATGTTTGTTCTTACGCTTTCCACAAGGTGGTTTGGACGGCGCTGAAGACCTGATCAATTGCAAGGCAGCTGACTTGAACCATGAAGTTCTTGCCGTGCTCATCTCAAAGGTTGGCCACACCAGACCACGTGTGAAGTGCTTGACCAACGAGGTAGGAGACTAAAGTTCCCCATCAGATTTGATTGAAACATGAATTTACGAGCTTTAGCAATTTGTATCTCTTGAAATGGGCTCCTGGAGGTGCGGAAGCTTTATCAGGCTGTCCAGGTCTCACCTGATGATCCTAGACAACCATACATCGACGCGTGGGCTTTGAGGAGAACTTGGTCTTTTCTTCGTAAACGATGGAGGGACTCACAGAAACGTGGTTCCAAAAGCCGGGTACCTTGACTATATTCATGCGCGCGTGTAGTTTTTCATTCCGCAACGTGCGGCTTCTATGTGCCAAACAACAGTGCCCCTTTCGCGCATGTTGGGGCCGATCCTGTTCAGTTCGAGAGCGTGCAGCGGATCTTTGACAAGTTCACGGCCATGCAACATGAGCCCGAAGCAGGCCAAGAAGAAGGAGAAGAAGAAGCACGTGAGACGGATGAGGAGGTGGAGATTCAGAACCTAAAGAGCCAGTGCGGGACTGCTGATGCCGAGAACCCCAAGACCCTCAAGGTGCTGTTCAAGCCATGCGGGGGTGCTGCGAGCAGCGGGCGCAGCGAGAACCAGAAAATGCTGGACCTTGTCTTGTTGGAAATTGGCAGGTGGGAAAAGTGGCTTGGTTTTAGAACAGCAATTTTGCTTGGCGCACGGCTTACGGTGCGTGTAACAAAGGTAGCGTGGCCAAATTGCACCCACCCAGTCGTTGGATTAGGTTGGTGGCCGACCACGTTGCCAAGCCGTGGATTCCGACAAACCCATTGCCCAGAGGAGCCTGATTCGCTAAGCGTATTTTTGCATATATATATATATACACCATATTTCTGTTTGTTTTTCAAAGCTGAACTAAGAAAGGGCTTCCCGTAAGAATGGCAAATTTTGCACGCAAGGCCCAACTACGGGTGTGATAGACCTGGAGGGCCCCGACTGCCCTGCAGCTGCCTCGCCTTCCAGCTTGAGCATCCGCGGCGCTATGCCTGTGAACGTCGATGAGGCGGGCTTGGGAACCGCATCACTCCAGTATGCCCTCAGTCGGTTTCATGTTGTTGACGCTGCCCCAATTTAAATTTATTGACCTTCTATAGCCTCTATTTGGAAGCCCCCCCCGACCGCAGCATCACCTCCAACATCACGAGAAACGCAGCGTCACCAGCAACACGCTGGAGGGGGGGGGGGAGGGGGGGCAAGGGGGGGCAAGGGGGGGCAAGGGGGGGCAAGGGGGGCGTGAAAACGGACGTGCGTTTCCACGCCCCCAACGTTTCTGGCAATGCTGGAAGCGTTGCTGGTGATGCTAGGGGTGTTGCTGGTGATGTTGGGGGTGTTGCTGGTGATGCGGGAGGGAGAGGGGGTGGGTGGCTCAGCCTGCACCCCTTTTTGGGTTCCAAGAACAATTGTTTAAACCATGTTGGCACGCCCATGTGGACATCATCGCTTTCGTTTTGAGGAGGCTTTCAAAGCTGTACGGCGAATGATTGACTGAGCCTCGTCAGGCCGAGACCCAGCTCGTTGACATTCAGCACGTTGAGTCGCCTGGCGCTGCAACTCTCCAACCGCACCAACAAAAGACTGCCGCCATTGTTTTGCAGGAGGAGCCCCCCAAGGCCTTGATCGAACAATAGTAATTTCGCGAAGTCTAGGCCATTGTTTGACGCCACATGGGAATTATCGTGTATATCTGTACTTCTGCCCTACCGCAACTTGCGTTTGAACTATACATTACCCACACAAGGTCTTGATCGAGTTGGCCCTGACACCCAATCTAACCTGCATGACCCTTCGACCCTGTTTTACCTCAAAATGGGAATCCCTATTGTTCAGCCAGAAGCCAAACCCTGCAAGGTCCCTTTCCGAGTTGGCCCTGACATGCAATCTCACATG